AGATGCTAATCAAAGTATAAAATGATTAAGTATAAAATATGATTAATTTCTGGATACCTAGTGTTCAGCATGTTAGTAATACTTAGCAATGCTTTGTCATATACTTGAGTCTGAACTGATTATATCTTACAATTGTCTTCTCACTTTATCTAAATTATGTTTTCATATCTAACACAAAAAAAGCAAGTCTATGTGGAGGGAGGCCTTAGCTTCACTTTTGGCATCTCACAATGAATAATTTGTTCAAAACAAGTTGTAAATCTTATATGATTTGTTTCATATTTCAGGGTTATGTCTCAAGAAAGACTTCACATGAAAGTTTGACATTAACATGAATTTCAAAAGATGCATGCAAATAACATAAAGACTTAGCTAATTGTGAATATGTATATGCATGTGTATATATACATATGTGCACCCACACCATATATATATATATATATATATATGTATATATATATATATATATATTTAATTTTTAAAAAGGCCATGAACTTGAAAGAGAGCATAGTGGGTTATATGGGATATTTTGAAGAGATGAAAACTTTGTATCACAATCTCAAAAAGATGCAAAATATTAAATATTAATTTACCATGCTTTGGAGAGAAAACAGTGCTGTTTCTTTATTACCTGCCCTTGTTATCTCAAAGGACTGTATCAAGATACAAGACTCAGTGTTTCTTGGATTCCAAGAATATGAGGACAAAAATTAATTTCTCATATTTCTTGAAAATCTTTCTGAAATGCTTCTCATAAAGTTTAATGTAAATCCTTCATCCTCTGAAGCCCTAGATAAAAAGTAAGCCACTTTTCTTGTGTTCACTCTGGCCATTGGATGATACACAGGAAGATTTTACTTATTTTATGTACTTTACTATACTTGCCTGAGAACCCAAAGTAAAATCTTCCTCAATCTCATCCCAAAGCACAGATGCCAGTTGTAAAAATGAAATGAGGTGGTTTCTTTTGCATGCTAGGCCATGATATATCTTCATGTCCTAAGGGAGTAAGGTATGACCTTCTCTTAGGGATTGGTACATCCTCTGTACTTATGCCATTATGAACTCCCATCTCCCACAGACCTTCATCTCATAAGGGACATCTTTTGTTTTGGTTACTTTTTGTTTTGTTTGTGAATCTTTAAGAGTAATATTCCACAGAGTCCCAATAAAACTTTCTTATACATTTTTCAAAGTTTTCAAAAATGTGGAAAAATATGTAGTGTATCATCCCGCCTCAGATTGTCCCATACCTCTTTTTAGAAATTGTGTTTTTTACTCCATTTATTTTCAATGTACTGAATCAAACCCACAAAGTCAACTCTGCCCCTGAGTAAGTACTCTGCCATTGATCAGCACTCAAGCCCTCCAGAATCACTTTTACCATGTTTCACCCTTTCTTAGTTAGTGTTCCTACTGCTGTGATGAACAACTATGACTGTGGTGATATTGTGTTCCCCAATATATTGTGCACCTTAATAAACTTATCTAGGGTCAGAGAACAGAACAGCCATTAGATATATAGGCCAGAAAATGGTTGCACACACACCTTTAATCCTAGCATTCTGGAGGCATAGATCCATCTGGATCTCTGAGTTCCAAGCCACAATGGAAACAGCCAGGCATGGTGACACATGCCATTAATCCCAGGAAGTGATGGCAGCAAGCAGAAAGGTATATAGAGCAAGAAACCAGGAACTAGAGCCTTGTTAAGCTTTTAGGCTTTTGAGCAGCAGTTCAGCTGAGATCCATTCAGATCTGGACACAGAGGCTTCCAGTTTGGGGAAACAAGATCAGCTGAGGAATTGGCGAGGTTAGGTTAGCTATGGCTGGTTCTGTTTCTCTGATCTTTCAGCATTCACCCCAATACCTGGCTCCAGATTTGTTTTTATTAATAAGACCTTCTAACAATTTGTGCCACCCATGACCAAGGTATTTTTTAAGGGAAGGCATTTATTGGTGGCTTGTT